GTAAAGGCAAAAGAAAAGCTAATTTTCCCTCACTGAATGAGTGCTGGACACTTCAAATAAATAAATATCAAGAATTTGAAAATAACATTGGGTAACACTTTACATTAACTGAACCCTCATAATGCATTCATAATGCATTCATAGACCATTCAGTGCACCTTCATAATGCATTCATATAACATTTACAAGCAGCATGCAAGTATACCACAACCTCCTAACATACCTTAACAGCTTTAATATACATTCATACCAAACATTATATATTATACAATATGTTTGTTATTAATGTGTATTACAGCTGTTAAAGTATGTTAGAATGTTCAGGCATACTTAGGCTATGTTCATATTACAAGCATAATTATCCATTTCTGATATTTCATGCATACAGGCAAAAAAACCACACAAATTCCGATTCATGTCGCATATCCACAGATGAGATACATATACGATCTAGGACCACATCTGAAAGGGACTCAAATCTGATTTGAAGAAATTGGATTTCTGCGTCCACGTAGTCACATTCAGGCAAAAAATTGGATTTGAGTCACTTCAGCTTGGTAGTCTGCTGCTTATGAATGTTCTATGAATGCATTATAAAGGCATTATAAATGTGCAGTTAATTTAAAGCGTCACCCAACATTGATCCTTTGTAGCCGTGGTTATTTTAATGAGCTTTGCCACCAGTGATTTCACCACTGGCTGCAGTTACGGTGCTGACAGCACAGAGGGGCAGTCGGAGCGGCAGGACGACTGACCTCCGGTGAGACACGAGTGCGGTGAGGGACAGCAGAACGAGGACAAAGGTGATGATGAGGCACAGGGCCAGGATCAGTGGGTCCACATCTGCCCAAACAGGAGAAATAGACCTTAACAGAACAGCTGGCTGACGTTAAACACTGAATATGAAACTGAACCAAAACCAAAAAAATTAGCCGTAGGATTTCACGGATAATTCCAGTAATAGATTCAACATTTTTAAGTAACCCAGAGTGCACTTTAGGTAAAGATGGGCATGCGATATTTATGGGGCATGGAATGACCTGATGAGTACCTTTGGGGGCTGTTGTCATGGACACCGGCAGTGTCCAGGAACTCCAAAATCCATCATATGTCAGGCCATCAGGCTTGACTCGAACCTGGACCTTGTACTTGGTATTGACCTGTAGGCCTTGCAGTGTGATCTCAGTGGATTCACGGACCACCTGGGTAAACGGGGAGGGGAGGTGAGGGGTGGGCGTATGATAATCAGCACCTGATGGCCTCTCTGAAGAACGATCGCTGGGAATACAGGTCCACCTGGAAGATGCACCAGCCCAGACTGACATACCGCCATACCTTCTCCTTCCAGGTACTTCCTGCTGTGTATCTGACTTCGTACATCATGCTGTTTTCCATGTACTTGAGGGGGGGCGGCAGCCAGGTCACCTTCAGCTGGCCCAGCTTCCCAGTCTGAGTCACAGTCAGGTTGGCTGGGGGATCCAGCCAAACTGAACCAGAGACAGACATAGAGACCAGGTCACCAAACAGAATCGAGTGGACATTAATAACCGAACCCATTTCCCCACCTACAAACTCCCAGTTACTACTTACAGAGAAGGTTTATTAAAAGGCTGCGGTTGTAGATCTGCAATCCATCCCGAAACACACGCAGATAAAGGTCTCCGAAATGCTGAACTTTTGGAAGGTGGCAGAAGTAACGTGTTTTGGCTCCCTCTGCTGGTTGGGACGTCACTTTACACTCACTGCTCTTCTCATTCCTGAAGAAAAAAAAAAAACGAAGCTCAAAAATAACAGTAATACAGACCGCTGGTGCTTGGGGCCCTAATAGCCACCTCTATACATCCGTCTATCTTGCAGAATTCTTTCCTAGTCATGGGAAAGTTCAACGAATCTAAAACAAAAACATTGATGCCAAGCTAAGGACATCCATCCGCCCCTTCACCCAGTACACATATAATTTAAATCAGGAATTACAAACATTAATTGAAGCACGGTAATCCATCCATCTTAATTTCAGATGAACAAAAGCAGAAATCAGGTGCATCTATATAAAACTAATATAAAACGACAATCAACCTATAACGGCAGAAACTTAAAACCAGACAACTCTTATGCTTAGGGGTTATGTTAAAGAACTGCATAAGAGCAACCGAATATGTGAATCGAATAAACGCTTTCTCTCACTCGTATGTGTACGTGAAGGAGTACTGGTCTGCGCTGCCCCCATCTTCGTCCTCCCAGAAGCACGTGAGGTCCCGCATACCTTCCGCAAAACACTTCGGATTCTCAGTTTCCACGTTGAGCAACAGATCAACTGTGACGGACGGAAAAAGAAAATCGAGGACAAAAAGTTACGATACACATACAACAGACGACATGAATGCGTTATTTGCAGAAACCAGAAGAACAGATCGTTGTTATAAACATTTTAGCGGTTTGTCTTAAAGTCACCGTGGCATTAGTCATATTAAAGTATCTTTTCCGGAGATCAGCATCACACACGATTGGTCTGCTGAGTAATAAAACAATTAGCAACCCCCAATTTAGGATAAAAACATTGAGACGAGTATGAGAGAACATAAACACATCGATAACATAATGAATAGATTTTTTCCCCACCTTTACTCTCGAAATGACGATCTACCGTTTCCAAGGAAGCTTTTTGACTGAGGAAGAATATTAACAAACCGAAATGCTGCGTTTTTCTCAGCATGGTCATTTTCTGTCAAGTTACAGGACGAATTCACATTCGTCTGTGTAGCGCTGCATAACTAGCGGAGTAAACGCACGTCTTTACTGTCTGCCTGCGCTTTTTACGCCAACCTGACTGTGAGATACGGGTGGCGTTGTTACGCGCGTGCTGCCAAAGAGATAAGATGGCCAAGTTGTTTCAAAACATTCCACTACAGCGGGCGTGGGGTTGTGTCGGCATTAAGACGTGAGAGAGTCAAGTGCGCGCTGATAATGGTGAGCATGAGATCGGGAATAACTATTACAGACAAACATAATCTGAAAATCGAAGAGGTGTGGATTGTTCTCTGTAGTCCACTGATAAAAACACACTCCACTAAATATGCCTGTCTTGTCTAGTTTTAAAGTTATTGAGCCATTCATGTATTGTCTCATTGCACATTATACGGATACATTCGAACATTAATTAAAATATGTACGTAAAGCAATCTGGGAAACAAAGGGGTGTACAACAGTCGCCATGAGCCCAAAACGCTAAACCACCGTGTCATTACAGCTGAAAGGACCTATAATATTAGCTATTAACACGATTTTGCACAAATCACGAAATGAAGCATAAAAATAATCGGTGTGCATCGTTGTCTGTGTACTGGACATCACAATTCTGTCATTAAAAATGCCCCACCTTACTTTCTGTTAAAAGTTATTAAAGCCAGAAAAGGAAAATTGAATATCGAATATGAGGCTAACTTAACCGCGGTCAAATACGCTATAGGTGAAGAAAAGTTTTATCTTGCATTACTCTGCACTTTAATACTTAGTCTATTTTTAATTTGACCCTGCATGGGGCAAGCAGGTATAGGAAAGGGATAATATGTATGCGGGTTTTCGCTGCAACTCCCTAATTAGAGGCCTGATTGGCTGAAGAGTCCTCACACCTCGGTTTGAACAGCTGACCTAAAGATTATCCCAAAAACCTGCATACACACCGGCCCTTTGCGGATAAGATTGGTCACCCCAGGCTTATACAGTGCAGGGTCGCCAGGAGCTGATCCGATGGCAGATACCAAACCGGTCAATCAAAGACAGAAATGCAAACTTAAAGACACTGATTCTCCGGTTTCTGGACGAGGAAATCGAAGCTCATCATCAGACGTCGTCCTAGCAATTCAAAATGCATAGAAATGAGAAAGATATACTTGGAAAAGTACATAAAATAAACATTTGCCTGTGAGACGGTTTAATCGCACTCTTACAGCTCATCAAAATATAGATAACTGAACGAGACGTTAAATCGTGGGTTGCTCCAGCCCCCGTTTACGGCAGTTTAACAACAGAACTTAGACGGTACGACGTCAGTTCTGCGCAGAGGCCTTGGGGGGGCCCTAGAGGTTTTTGTTAATGCCTTATCGGAAGTGGACACCCCCTCACTTTCGCGCTCATGCCTCGTTATCAGTAGAACAAGATGTCCTGTCACTGCCTGGAGATAAGCCTCTTTACTTCTAGGTGTAAGCCGAGAGGCTCCATTTCCTGCTACTTCAAAATAAATGTTGAATCAAAGAGGAAACTAATACCCTACAATTTTCTTATTCTATACATTTATATGTTTTTAAAGTAGGGTATTTTTAAGTGGCTTCGACTGAATATATTTATCAAGGCACTGGGCAAATGCCTTTGACAGGATCCGTCACCGGATGCGACTCCAGGTTCAAAACATCGAACTACTTTACACGTGCTTCACATTTTGCTTTCCATTCACGTTTGGGATCCCTACCCAACTAGTTACGATGTCTGTGATTGCCAAGCTGAGCAGGTAAGGACTTGCGTTTCCCCACTCTGTCAGTTACAAGGCTTCATCAATGTTTCTGACTGGAGCCTTACCAAGTGAGCACCGCATACAGTCCAGCGCTTTCATGGGGCACGTCGCTCTTAGCTCTTACACATCGCTCTTACACATCCTTGTGGACAACCAGCTCATATTGGTGATTTCATCCAACACATTAAGAAGTAATTTCAGATATTTTTGTTATAGAATGCAAAGTAGGCCAATTTGTTTGCAATAGTCTGGTAATACCAGAACTCCATGGGGGTGCTGAGAATATTACACTGACCCCCCAACCCAGATCAATCCAATTAGAATAGAACAGGGATACTTTATTGATCTCCGTGGGGAAATTCTCTTTTCACTTTGTCCCATTTTGCTCTCCATTCAGGTGAGACCAAACTTGGGGTTAGAGGGAAGGGTCACCCCCCCCACGTTCCCATTTTTAGGGCCCCCGTCAGATGACACAGCAGATGTTAGCAGCTCATTCCCTGGGCAAGTTCTCCTCTTTTACTCTGGACGGAAGCATTTCACCTGAATTCCCATAGTTAGATATTCTGGTGTCACTTTCAATAATAATGTTATCTCAGTTTAGATCATTCTCACCTTAACCCAAACTTAAGCAAACCCACCAATGGTACGTACATATGCAACCCTTTCCCTATAAAATGTCTACCAGGTGTTAAGGGCAATACCTTTGGCTTCAGCATTGTGGGGTTTAGGTCTCCATCCATTTTAGGGGGTCCAGGGGGATGTATTGGCTGGTGTTGATTAATGGACGGGTTACACCCCCCCCATAATTTACACCCATGCCAGGTTCATATGGAGCAAAGACAGGTGTGACAGACTAATACACATTAATGCATAAATGAAGGTATTTTTTTTTTATCAAAGTCAAATTTAAAATGTATACATCATATTTCGTGAACATATGCTGATATATTAAAAACAAGTTACAGGCCACAAAAATGCAGCCTTTTTGGCATTGGTGAGAATCCAACAGTAAGCTAAGAGTGACCGGCTACTACAGCTAGACAGCCATGGATATTCATGGATGTGGTTTGCTGAGTGTCTGCTGCCTTGCCGTTCACAGTCAGTGTTACGTCTAAATTAGTTATATCAGAACAAAATGCATCCTGTAAAATAATCAGGGTCACGGTGATTCAAAGCAGCATTCAGAAATCAATAGCAGTGATTAGCACAATGAGATACTTTGTTACATTACTATTGAAATATTCCACTACTGATACATGTGTACAATTAAAGAGCTACATATAAGAACCAGGATTCAGGAAACCAAACCATAACTGACAGCCATTTAGGCCAACAGAGCGTCTGCCACTTGCCCTGATTGCTTTGCTCCGAGCAGAATACTCACTCGGTTTGATGTCAGCATTACAGTAGGTATCTGCCTGGTGAACAATAGACTTGTATGCTGCGGTGGTTCAAACCTCAGAGACCAATACATGAAATGGAACAACCACAGAATCACAACTAAGAGCCATTTCCAGTTCCGCGGGCGGACAGAGAGGTAGAGCGGCGCTAACTTGGTTTGTATTGTGAAGATGCTCCGGACAGAAAGTCTGTTAGCGTAACGTCTCTCTCTTAACGAGGGTACGAAGATGCCCTAGTGAACAAGAGCCAGCTTGAAATCTGGAGCAGAGCCAGTGGCAGCTTGTATTAGTCAAAGACACAGACACAGACACGCTGTTACTCTCCACAGTGGTACTTCAACCGCAGGCTTTGAACTTCAACAACAAAATGAAAATTTACTACCCAGCATGCTTTGTTACATCCAGAGCTGCATTAGTAAGAATCTGATTATTTTGTAATTACTGCGGTGAAAATAGAGAAATTTACTTTCATCAGACTGTCTGGACGCACGCATTTCCATTAGATCTCGTTAAAGTAAATCACCATTAAGTGTAGGCACTAGAAACATACCTGCAGTCCGCCTGTCTGGAAAGGCTCATTCCACCGCAGTAGGAATTATAAAATCTGCTCTACAGAATGAAGACATAAGCAGAGGGGACCGTACATCCTTTACAAAGATCTACATCGCAGAGCCTCACATCTGTAGTTCACACACTATTTCTGGGGACACTTTGGAAAGGTAACGGTTACCTCACATTCCCAGCAATTCAAGGGAAGGTAGAACCGAGGTTCTTCAAGTCCCCACACAGACCTGAGACTCATGGGATTGTAATTTCCATGCGTGGTTCCATAACACACTGGACTCAGACGGGGTGCAAACCTTAAAGGGCAGATCAGCCCGGCCAATACCGCCTTACTCACAAGCACCAGGCCAAAATGCCAGACAGCATCTGAGACGCAATCCCTGTGCCCCGCACTCACACACACAGGAGAATGACAGATTTACGCAAGAGCCCACAAACATGACAGCAGGACAAAGGTTCTTAGGGTGAAGGGAGCCTAGACTGGTGAGATTCTGAATAATCCTTCCCAACTGGTCCCGGCAGTGAAACAAACTCTCTCTGGAAACCGGACTTACCCTATACACTAGCAGAGTCAACAGTGAATCATTCAGACATAAAACACGTGTGAAGACAGGAACTCATGATTAAAAAAACACATTAGTGTTTGTGTAAGATCTTCAGCACATTATAAGTAGAATTTTTTTACTACTAATAAGGTTTATAAAGTACAACATATAAATACATGACAAAAAGTAACAAAATATTTCAGGTTTGTGTCCAAACTGGTGGTTCTCTAGCAACCAAGCAGATTATATTTGAATATAATTGGAAGCGATTTTAGGAGAGATGGATCTCAAATTCGCTTTTTAACACAGGGAATCTGAGAGGGTTGGTCCCTATTGTGGGGGAGGGGGGGTGACACGTGGTGATGCTCTATCGAGTGAGATGCTTAGACAGGTGCAAGCTTCCACCCTCATGGGGTGGGGGGGGGGGGGGATTTGGTAACCGTGGATACAGTGTTGGTCATGAGCCAGTTGGACGGTCAGCAGGAACAGCTACTCTGGCTTTGCAGGGGTGAGTCTTTCATGTCGGTTGCCCGGTTTCCGGAAGACAGACTCTCCACCCCTTCTAGGTTCTCGTTCATCTTGTCACAGATGATGTCTACAAGTCGCTCAAACGTCTGCGTCACATTGATGTTGTCCTTGGCGCTGGCTTCAAAGAACTGGAACCCTGGATTAGATGATGGTGAGACAATGTGACGGTGAGGGCTGGGGCTTGTCACTGTACAGATTCTCTAGGGAGTGCAGTGCTTACTGCAGCAGTGCTGTATAATTCACTGGCTACAGAAACACTCACCCATCTCGTTAGCGAGCCTCTGACTCTCCTCCGTCGGGATCAGTCTTTCGTCCTCCAGGTCACACTTATTCCCCACCAGGATGACCTGCGCGTTGTCCCACGAATACGTCTTTATCTGCGTCGCCCTGAGAGGGGGGCGATCAAAGCAATACAGTCAAATTATGATTCAAAATAATAACTATGAAGTGCAATTTGCCACATTCACAGCCCACATACTACATTCTACGATCATACATCTTTCATTAAAGGGGCAGTTCACCACAAAACAAAAAAATATGTATTATTTCAGTGGTGAATAAAGCACCAGAAAAATACATTTGGAAAATCACACAGCAACGTCTCTTACCAGAAATCGTGACCCAGTTATTGAAGATAATCCACTTTGTAGTGAGTAGTTTAATGTAGGAACTATTTTCTTCTACCGAACTCCACACACCAATCGTATCACCGCGCAGAAGATCCGAGCAGGAGCACCACGGCGCCATCTTCTGCGCAGTGATACAATCGGTGTGAAATGCCCATTTAAACAAAAACAAGTGTTTCCAGACACTGCCCCCTGCTGGAAAAACAGCTCGTTTGCACTTAATGAAGATCACAGCTCACCAGTCCCGCACTGCACTGAATGATTCCTGGCTGGTGATGTCATACATTAGCAGAAATCCCATGGCCCCCCGGTAGTAAGCCGTGGTTATGGTCCTGTAGCGCTCCTGACCCGCTGTGTCCTGTCACCCCCCAGGGAAAGAGGTCAGTACAACATTTTTACATGTACGTGATAAACAGTAAAGCACAGGTCTTCCCGGATACATGAACAAAGCTTGGTGTCTTATAGATTTTCAACATCCGCTATCACTGCCACCTTTAAGAAGCATTTTAATTAACCATAATACATTATCAGGCACATCAGGGTATGGCTCAGTTTATTTTGGAATAAACGCAATAACCTTCGATATGTTGTTAAACAGATTAAAATTAAATCTCTAAGGACAAGACTTTGAGCCTCACTCGAATTTAAGGATGCAAGGTCCAACAGGCTCCCACCCCATCTTCCCTAACTGTCAGAGGTCACATCCTAAGTTCACCAGGTTACACATTTGAAAAAACGCCTTAAGGAGAGAAACATTAGATAATCTCATTTCAGTTTCCCGTCTGCCAGACAGTCCCTCCTCCGCCCTTCGCACTCCATCCAATACATAAGTTTTCACACTGAGTTTCAGGGATGTGAGCCAGTGGACTTTCTGCACGGACCCCCCCCCCAGAACATGTCCGTGTTCGAGATCGATCTCCACTCACCCAGATCTGCAGCTTGACCCGCTTGTCGTCGCGGAAGACGGTCTTGACCTTGAAGTCGATGCCCACGGTGCTGACGAAGGCCGAGGTGAAGGAGTCGTCGGTGTAGCGGAACAGGAAGCTGGTCTTTCCCACGCTGCTGTTCCCGATGATGAGCAGCTTGAACATGTAGTCGAAATTCTGGTCCGCCGCATCTGTCTGAGACTCCCGATACTGGCGTGACTCGTTCACAGAGGCCATCTATGAGGAAAGGAAGAAGGATGCGCTTTGGTCTATTCTATTTCCCGTTCCTGGTGAGATACGGTGTCCTCTTTGCAGGCTTCTTCACATTCAATCAGGATCTCATTTCAACCAACAAGCTGCGAAGACCTGAATGACCCAACTAAACATGCACATAAAAAATACATATATGCATATACAAGCTTAATGGGCCAGAGTACTTCCTTCTATGGAGTCTGTCACCATGGAAACATGTCCAGAACAAAGGGCTCACCCATCAGAAGGTCCTCAACTACATGTTAAGAAGCAGGAAAGATGAGGGCACTGATACCATTCAAGCATGGGAAACAACACGATGAGCATGATCTCTCAGAGAAAAGCACTTGCCGTGCATCGCCATGAATACGCAATGCCTACCATAACAGCCATTTTAAACGGTGCGGGGTTAAACGCGCACAAGCAGGGAAGCCGGTTATGCAATATGAGAGGCTGCGAAACTGTAATCGAGGGGAGATATACAGTCAATTAGACGACGGTAGAAATGTGTCCGTTTGTGGTTTTCATCTCTGTCGAGTAATTGTACTGTAGTATTACACCACTGTTGTGAAAAAAACGGATTGACCACAAGTGAGCACTTTGCAAAACCTGAATGTTTTGAAATTCACCTTGAGGTGTGTCACCCGCCCACCGAGGGCGAAAAGATGATGGGAGCACTTCTCCTGCAGTATTACAGCATGTCCTGCATTAATCTAACTTCTGAATACAAGTACAAACAGCTCCTCCAACCATTTGGCACTAGATGGAGTAACTGGCTCGTGTACCTTTTCCTCCCCGTTTCAGAAGATAAGCTTAGCGTAAAGCCTACTCACATGTTACAATAATAATGTTAAATCCTCTTCTTGTGAAACAGGGTTCTGTGAAGCAAAACTATACCAACTTTTTAATGACTTTATTAACTTAAAATATGTGCACGGAATTAAGTACCATGATATAAAATTTACACTTTAAGTCCCCGATCGCTACATAAATCATGTCAGATCGGAACAATACTCGTATTGTAATCTACAGGCTACATATCCCCGTTTCCAGTCACTCCACAGATTAAGCAGATGATGGATTATGGCTTCTCTGGAAAAAAAAAACTGAAACATAAAACCCCAGCCCTTGCCTTTAGACCTGCGGGCTTGCAGGGTTCCCTCTGTGAGAAGAGAAGAGGAGCCGATCCGCAAACTTTAACCGCGTCTTCCTGCAGCGGACCAGATTGCCTGTATAATAAATGTACACAGTAGCCTGAAGCCAAACATCCGGCCAGAAACAAAAGGGAATATAAATGTAAAACCGAGGTGGTTACACGCATACCGAGAAAAATAAACAGACTGGAGGGTGTGAAATATGCTGTAGTCAGTTTTGCCAACTTTCTAGAATAATCAAACTCCTGTTGCACTTTTTTTGTTTTACAGACGGTCAATCTAACAGTACGCTTCGCCAAGTCAAAACAGATTGTTTTTTGTTTGTTCGATAAATTTCCATATGCTAAGTGATACATAAAAATAACTGAAAAAAGATATATTGCGAAATGATAACATTATAAACTCTCAAACAGCCAGGTGAAGCGCACCATTACCAAAATTTCATGCTGTTATCCCTCTTCCGGCCTTTAAGAACAATAACAAGCTTACAAAATATTTGTATTTCTAATATAAAAGCGAAACGTGCAAATCAACTAACCTTTAATATTGAGAGTAAAACCTTTGCGTTCCAATCGGCAAACTAAAGAAAAGTGACCAGGCTGTAGCTGAAGCTTTCCTGCCTGGTTTCCTCCTGGGCGGACGCCGATCGGGGGAGGGGGCGCTGCTCCGCCGCGCTGCCGGCTCTGCGCTCCGCCGATCAGTTGCCTGTCTTTCCTAAAACCAACCACCACCCGCATGAATCATGCGCTTTATGCAGGCCGGGGACCTGCAAGACACCACTAAAGAAAAGGAGGAGGAAGAGCAGCCCAGCGCACCGCTCCCACCTCTGTCCTAACTAGCCGCATGTTCTTCGGCGTAGCCCAGCTGACGTACCATACCCCGAAATACTTTTTATTTGTAGATTAAAACACGGAACTAAACCATAATATCAATACTGTCCCAACTGAAATTCCAAGCAAGTTTAACTAAGACTACAAAGACATTTACCATTAGATACTAACATTTTGGATGGTCACGTGTACGAATGGACTCATATATAACTAATGTTATAATTCACAATATAAGCGAGTTAGACAGCCTGTACTAAGGGCTGCCTGCTCCCGGTCTGTGGTCAGTATTCCACCGGCTGCGGAACGTTTTGCGGAGGGATTGGTTAATTTAGGCTACAGAAATAAACTGTATTTCCAGGTTTTTACGACCCCGCACGTTCTGTTCGCACCTGAAAAGATGGAAGCGGTTAGAGGCTATTTAACTGCCAATCGGTTCGCCGGTACCCCCCCTCCTTGGTTAACAATATAGGCCGACAGATGGTTAAACTCCACACTAAGAGATATGTGGCTTAAAACAATTTTAAAAAGCCACGTGAAGTAATCAGATCTGCAAATACATTTGTCTTTGGAATTTAAGAGACCGTAGCTGCGACCACCCCCAGTTATGAAGGCAGGTTGAGTTACGCTTCTGACACACCATAAAGAACCATGGCCTGATTACACGGATGTGTCCGCAGTCCAGTGCAGCGTCTCTGTCTGTCACGCTGTGTGGACTGTGATTATGTTCTGTATTTGAGCTGCTGTGGTGCCTCTTCTCGAACCACTACCAGGCTCTGTAGGATGGACTATTGGAGCAGCGTCAACGGAGGTGAGTTATGTTTGGGTTTTAATATCAAAATCCAATTAAATCTGTAACAGTGACAGAAACGTCACACAACTGGGTCTAACAATAGATTTCAAAACTAATCATTAGTTACACAAAATTCCTGTGTTTTTTTCCTGTGGTTTATGGTGTTTGGAACGACATGAAGGCATTTAATTTTGTGCCAGAAATCCACCCTTGAATCCACCCATGTGTTGGGATCAGGATTATCCTGATTTTTTGGATCGAATGTATCCAAATTCAAACACAAACTTTTGAACAACAGTGAAGGTTTGATCCAGGTTAAAACTGAGATTGGATTAGGTGATCTGATCTGATTTCAGAATCCCTCTTTTCCCTTTGAACAACCCGTCTTCAAGATTCAATCCAATCTGTTATCTGAGATCCCACTGGTTTACTTTTCAACAACTGCACCCTGGCGACAATCTCCCAAGATGCCACTGGTGTCTCACTGGCTGTGGCAGATTGCAGGGGCTGCATCCTTGGAAGGACGTGGTTTACGAAGGTGTCACCTTTGTAGGCTCATGGCAGTTTTACTGACACAAAAATCTTCTGAGGGCAGAACGAAAAATGATTGGTTCAGAGGGGTTTGATTTTAATGAAAATAAATGAGAATACATTCTGTAAACATTAGTATACATTCATCTGAATTTTGGTATGGAAATCCTGGTTTAATTGACCAAATAAGACAAAATTTTAGTAATGTAATATTACTGCAGAAAATGTGAAAGGACTAATAATAACATCACAAAGGGTAAATCAATGGCAGGAATGTTGGGTTTTCCCTTATAATATTGCAACATTTTTTTCTAACTGCAGTTTTGGGTTTTGTCCACGGGGTGGCGGTATACTACACGCAGAACTATTTCCCCGCTGTACAGATCATGCATATTCTGTACTATCAAAACCAAAGATACTTGTTTTGACTGGTTTTGAACAGTTGTTTACCTGGTAGCACCGTTGAAGGTGTAAATCAGGGTTCCAACACAGTTTGCAGATCTTCCTGTTCAAACACAGATACTAAACCTGGTAACTTGCTGATTAAGGTTTGTTTGAGCAGGGAAATCTGCAAACTGTGTTGGATTCTGGCCCTCCAGGACCAGTACTGGGGAACCATGGTGCAAATTTTATCCTTGGCTCTGTGCGTGTAATTTATATGTTTCAGCCTATGTTTGCGAGGGTTTGTGTCCATAATCCAAAAATAGGGAGTTGGGTGAATCGGTGTCATTCGCCCTGCCATGGACTGGTGATCTGTCCAGGGTCTCTCCTGTCACTGAGCACAACCCTGTACTGGGTAACTCTCTATGGATGATTCCCACAGACTGTTTATTTACTTCACTCACTAAATGAGTGCCGCAGTGATACTGCAAGAACATTCTGAACCATGCCTTTGAGTTACCAGAAGGAAAGGAAACACACAAGGAGGACGCGCTCTGGGTTGGCTGCAACGCGGATAGGTTTAATGACGGAAGCGAAATCGGCAGAACACGTTTTTTTTCCATGCCAAAAGAAACGTATTTATCATGAAATGAAAGCTGAAGGTCACACTTGAATGCTCCAGGAAGCACCGCCGGGATCTGTCTAAACAACAGGATGGATCTACAATACAGCGGCAACACGAATTAGCGTATAACAGACAGACGGCTACGCACCACTGGCTAACCACAGGAGAGGGTCATCAGGCTGCGGCTGGTTACTGTCCACCTAAGCAGTTAATGAGCAAATGGTGAGTATATATGTATCGTAGGGGACATGATAAATACTATAATAATAATTATCATAATCATAATAGTAAGTGCTTCCTAGTATAACATCTAGTGAGTATAAGACATGTCTTTATATTTGTAAAAAAAATTGTTATTCTCTTGCTTTCAATGACAAATGAATACACTATATTCTGTACAACATTTACAATTTCAGAAAAATACACACAATCTAGAATGCAAACGTAGAAAAGTTCTCTATAAACAGAAAAAAAAAAACAATAGTGGACATGTGACAATTATGATAAACCATCGTACTTTCGAGGCACGAAATACAGGGGAAAAAACAAGCACAAAATCCTACAAACTAGGGTTCAGTGGAATTAAATCACTCTAATGGTCATTCACTGGTGGCTCGTTCCTGAAATGATGAGTATTTTTTTACTCTTTTGAAGTAAGAGAAGTTGCCATCTTGCAGGTGAATTTAAAGATACAGTGTGGGACCAGTGTGGCGCTCACATCACCAGCGTGCAGCTCACATCACCAGCGTGGCTCTCACATCACCAGCGTGCCGCTCACATCACCAGCGTGCCGCTCACATCACCAGCGTGCCGCTCACATCACCAGCGTGCCGCTCACATCACCATACATCGTACTGGTTACAGCCTTCCAGCTACCAGGCAGCAAATGCCACCAGTACCTGTGCTGCAGGACTCTGTAAGCGTTGTTAGTTTAATTTGGGTAGCTGCCTCTCACATTCATGGTCTGCAGTTACCCAACATGTCATGGTTTAAAGACATTTATGTTAAAAATCGAAATATTTCTGTGTCCTATGACGTTTTTCCCTCTCTACATGAATAAACACACCACTCGTGCACCACTGCAGCCATCACTCCACGCCTATTTGCTTTCAGGCCCCAAATTGTTGACCCACAGATATTCCGCAGCCATCGCGATGCCACTGGGCCACAGATTAAAGCTCCTTGTCACAATCTTTGTTCTTTCCAGGGTTTACATGTTGATTCTTCTCCATACGCAGGCGGAATGGATTGTTTTTAATTGTGTGGGTTACTTTCCACTTCTGTATTTTTCTGGAAGTTTCTACACGGATCCCTAGAAACTTCTTTGAGCCTATCCGTAATCCTGACACTGATCTTTGTTAAAGCCTTCCTGTAGTGATATTGTGTCTGATTAGTGTCATATGTAAATGAACTGAATTCAATATGGGCTGCAGTAGACAGACATGAGGATGACAGGTGACAAGAGGGACATTTCCATGGTTGTCTTGTCCTGTGTGGGGAACCAGACACATTAGTATGTGTAGATACAGCGATTATATGGTCACAACCCCAGCATTGCATGAACAACTGAGAAACAAAAACTGTATTGGTGACAGTTGCAAGCTAGGAATATTATTATTATTATTATTATTATATAAGAGTGTGCTTGTGTATATGTGAGACTTTGCGTAACTGACTATCTGTGCCTGCGAGTCTGTGACAGAGACACCGTGTACGAACACCCTCCAATTCAGCGCTGTCAGCAATCCCTCACAGACACACAGGCAACAAGCTCAAGTGAGCCAAAACCAGTTTGGTCCTGATTTTGTGACAATCGAAAAACTGACACATAACTATCCTGCGCTCTGGAGGTGTATTTCTGTGCATATCTGACACCCAGGATCAGGTCCACTCTCTGATCACAAAAACAAAAAAGAAAGGAGAAAAGACAGATGAACCCATGAACCCACCTCTCTGATCTGTGCAGTCCCTCCATCAGCCACCAGGGGGCAGAATGGAGGGTCTAGCTCTTGATTTCCAGAATGGAGGGGTTGTGTTCCAGAATAGCCAGAATGATCTTGTCCATGTACTGCCTCAGGCGAGAATTGATCTCCTCCTGCTCCTTCAGGGCATCCACTAACTGAGGGAAACATCAACATCTAGCATAGTCACATGACACAGTTCGGCTTTACCCCATTTATGTAGCTGGACAGGAAAACTCAGGACAGCCAACGGTTCCCAAAGTCCCATGTGCACCGTCTGTACGCCTCACGTCACATGCACAGTCCCCGGAGTGCGTCTTACCTCATCACGGGAAGCGTTGTCAATCTCAGCAGCCAGTGACTGCACCTTTGACTGTGCCCCGAACAAGCTCCTGGCCTCATACATGCTGAGACTGAGGATCTGACCGTTCAGGTCGTCGTTTTGATCTCGCAGCTTGTAGTTCTCCTGAAAGACCATTTGTTAGATTGTGGTGGGCGGGTCCCAATCTTCCCTGGGGCAGGCTGCCATTGGCTGGTCCAGTCACTGTGTGTTTGATGCCGTGTGTGAGGTAGAGCAGCCACCTGTTTGAGGCGCCTGGCTTCGTGCTCGAGTTCGATCTCTCGCACCCTGGTGCTTCGCCCCTGACCCGGTTGATCCATCTCCAGCTTGAAAAGATGCAGGTGGTCCAGCTCTCGCCGTAGATCCTCAATCACCTGGGGATCCAGACACAGGAAGCAGCAGGAAGGCCGTAGTTCTGTTTAGTAACATCTGAATCTGTGCACCAGCAGAAACATGCACTGCCTGGCCATGGAAAGTGCCCAAGCCGTTAGGGAGCGAAAAATCCATGGATGGGATGGATGACTGGGCCATTCAGTAGATTCAGGTACTCAGCTGACTTCACTGTATTGCTGCATAACATTGCTGAGCTGTAATAATGATCCAGTCATTGGCTTTTAATTACTTGCCGATTTTAATTCAAACGGTGACAGTTTTTTTTTTTGGACAGACACGTTTTTATTTGAACGTCGCCTCGTATAGGCAGCGTCTGCAGTTGTTCTGCATTTTCCATGTTGACATGTGGTTGTTCACCTCATGCATGGCCTCCTTCTCCTTCTGGAACTGGTGCCGGTTCTGCCACAACTTGTCCATGATCCTCCTATAAAGATCCATCTCATCATTCAGACGAAGGCTGGTGTCCTCCAGTTTGTCGGACATACGCTGCTTCTCCTGCACACACACACACACACACACCCACTCAAGAACTGCTAGCAAGCAGAAAGTTTTGGCAAGATGGAAGGGACATTATGGCCGCCCCGATACAGGGTGAGCGAGTACCTGGTCCAGCCTTTCCGTTTGTGACCTGAGCCTGCAGACGTTCACGGTCATCTCTCCATTGTCGTCCTCCAGCTCCTGCACTCTGTCAGACAACAGAGGTCATAGCACCGCCTGTCCGACCCGCATTCAGCTCCGTCGCTCATTGGCGAGGCGCCCGGCCGCTACCTGGTGTTCAGCAGCTCGATCTCCACGCGCTTGTCTCTCTCCATCTTGCTGTAGACCTCACGGTGCCTCTTCAGTCCATCCTCCAGCGCCTGCTCGGCCCACACCTCCTGGTCCTTCACCTGCTCCTCTAATTCATGAACCCTGTTTTTTTTTAATGCAGATGAAATTGGAAAAACAGACAGTTGTTTTGTGTTTAAAAATCATTGTTTTTTTTTTCTGGAGTTAAGCTGTTGTGGGAATATTTCCTCAAAATTCATAACTCATTAGGACAATAAAACTTTATTTATGTATTTATGCAGCCAGACACACACCGACGTTATGCAATAAGCATACGTGCATGTACCTGTGTACGAGCTGTGTGTTCTCCTGTCGAAGCTTGGATCCCAGGTCTCCGCTCACCAGGCTGTCATTCTCTAACTCTGTCACTTTCTTCTCCAGGTAGCTAACCTGTAGAGAAGCAAAATAGAGTTCCAGGGGGGGGGTTCACTCCAAAGATCTTTCTAAAACCTGTCCACCCCCCATCCTACCCCAAGTATGTACCTTCTCAGTGATGTCAACATCACAGGAGTCAACGCTGTCATGAAACAAGTCATCGGTGCTGCCATTACCGCTGCTGAAGTTACTGCTGTGGAAGAGCTGCCTGAAAGGAGAGGGTCACATGGTCACGGGAAAGGAGGGAGAGGAGGAGAGCAGGAAAGAGGAAGAGTCTGGGAAAAAACAGGAAATAAGTATGAATCAGGGAAGAGCAGGAAATGAATAAGCATCAAGGACGAGTCAGTGAAGGACAAGAAACAAGGGAGAGTCAGGGAAGAATCAAAGAAGAACAGAAAAGAAGGAAGGATCAGAAAAGAGTCAGGGAAGAGCAAGTAATGAGGAAGAGTCAGGAAAAAGCAGGGAATGAGGAGGGAGGGAGGAGGAGAAGAGGACAGTGATGATGCAGGCAGCTTATGGACAGGAACTCAGTTAAAATTCAAAGTAGGGCCATGATCTTACCCTCATACACAGCCCTTACGGAGAACCACAGCCACAAAGCAGGGCCATGATCTTACCCTCATACACAGCCCTTACGGAGAACCACAGCCACAAAGCAGGAATGGAAATGGTGGTGAGCTGCTTCAGACAGAACAATGTGCTAAGAAATGTGTGCTCTTGTGAGGCTGTATTTCTCTGTGTGAAATGACAAGGATAATTTAAATATAATTAACACTTAATGAGGATGTCAACCTACCTTCCAAAGGCCGTGCTGGAGATTTTCCTGTTTGGACTGCAAAGAGAAAGCCTGTTAGTCACACAGTAGCAGCACCTGCTGGTTAATGACAGCTGAAATACAGCAGAGCCCTGATAGCCCATGTTGGTTTGTTTACACAGATTCAAGGACTTTGGGCCTAATCGAGGGACAAGTGGTGATTAAAAAAGTTAAAATGTTAATTGCATCCTCCCAGCTGGAGGTGTTTGCTTGGGCTCTGGGTGCACTGGTTTGAAAGATGGTCCTAATCATCTAAACACACACAGCTACTCACACACATTTGCATTTTTATTTTTGAGACCAGGCTCCTGACTCATTTGAATAAAATGAATCAGCATTTCAGCAAAACTGATGAAACAGATACAGTGGGGATTAGCATACATTTAGTAAGTATTTTTAAAAAGCAGATGATGATTCATTTGTTTTCTATAAACTGGTGTCATTAAGGTGAAAAATCTCCATGCACGCAGGGCTACACTTTATACTCATACTCTATTCTTCTGAGCTCATAAATTTCTGCATCCCACCAAAAAGCACACTGTTGCCATAGAAACCCTTTGAAGTGGATTACTGAAGACAAATTGAGCCTTCTGGGGTTCCAGAGGGGTTAATCCTGAGATCACAAAATGGAGAGAGGCCAGTCATGGTGGATTTGTGCGGTCAGGGAGAGTCAGCTGCTTCCCTGCACTTGGCAGAACAAAAAAATGATTGGTTCGAAAAGATAGCCAATCTGATTGTGGTGGAGGTGGGCCCAAGCAACCTGAAGAGGTGGGACCAAGACTGATTGGTCCGACCTCCTCTAGTTGCTTGAACCCACCTCCTCTGTTGACTGATTGCTTATCTCTCTGAACCAATCATTTTTCGTTCTGCCCTCAGAGCATTTTTGTGTAAGCAAATCTCCTATGACCGCATGTTTCTCCCAGCAGCAATATGAGATGCCGCCAGATCGCCACACGCGTCGAGGACCATACCTGTTGGCCCGGAGGTTCCTGAGCCGTGCTTCCAGGTCATTGAGCAGGTTGACCTTCCTGCAGCACTGTGAGCAGTAGATGTCCAGTTGCCCGCTGCTGCAGAGGTGCCTCATCTTCTGAGGAGTGTGCCCAGCACTGCAGGGGGTGTGACAGTGCAACAGCCAAGAATCAGCCCGGTTCCGGAAGATCCTGGGTTCCGACAACCTTCTGAAAGCTCTTGATGAATCCGCACTTTTCAGATTACTACAGCATTAGCAAAAAAACATCACCTTCACGTCTGTGTGATTTACATTTCAATCGACTTCGCTAAATGCAAGTGATGAATATTAAAATATGTCTGTGGGGTGGGGGGGGGGGGGGGGGGAGCAGCAGGGCTGAGAAACCTGGATGGGAGAGAGGAGCCGAGGTCGGAGCATCCGTTGGTTCGGGATTCGTCGTCAGGACAGGGGCTTCCGGGGGCAAAATCCACATCCTCGCTCTCGCCATAATCCTCAAACTGCTCCTCACATGAGATCAAGGATGTGGGGGAGCGTGCGCAAAGGTCAGAGGTCACGCAAGGGTCCAGCTGACCAGAGCTGCGACAGGAAGCAAAGTCAGTCAGCCTATGCTAGACCTCAACGTTCAGGCCGAACAGCAACAATAGTGACTGAACCTGGAACCCAGCATCGGAAGCTTAGAACGGCGGTGCTTGCAAAGCTTGTTTTCTCGAGCTAACGTGAATGTCCTCTGAGTGATTATACGCTACTTAATGCGCACGTCCGTCTCTTTAACGCTGAAGATTAAGTGCTGTGCCTGTACAGTATGTGCATGCCGTGTCCTGGAAATCGTGTGTCATGTCGTGTGTAAATAACATGATGATAAAAACAGCGAAATCTGATATGGACAAACCTCCGCACCCACATTTAAATCTGCACACACTGCCTGGATCCTTAATCCACTAAGTGAAATGTGCCGAATGCCTGTCACCGTTTCCTCTGCACACCAGCAGACATACAGAGCAACGCTTAGATATCAGTGAAAACTGTATATAAGGTGCATTATTCTCTTATCTTGTGAAAACGAGCTTTGTTATCCCGAGATGACAAGATTTATCTTGAGATAATGGTATTAAAAAAAATTCGCAATCACGGCTGTCCTCGACTCCTGTAAGCACAGTAAGGGACTGAAATCTAAATCCCCAACTGTATGTCCCATTATTCAAGCTAGCTGTAATCAAATTAACCAAAACGTAGGAGAAGCAGCCTGCATTTAAGCAAACGAGTTTTCCTATAGTCTCCGTTTGCCTGTGACTGCAGTAATCCTCTAAGGGAGGGGCTAACCTGGTGACAGACAGGAAGAGATCCGTGTCCCTCTCCTCTGACCGCCCCCCGTCGGAGCTATCCATGTCCGAGTCCTGGGTCTCGTTCTGGGATGGGCCCCCGCCCCCCGGGAACAGCGCCTGGACCCTGGGGACCTTCGCCTTCTCTTCCTGGGGGGGCAGCGGTGGGTGGGATGAGCGCAGCCGAGGGCCGTCACCAACAGCTAGGCGCTGCTCTCAAAGGCACGTTCAGCGATGATTAAAGAAATAGCAGGAGTCCCCATTATGGGAATCTGCCATATGACCAAACAGCATCACGCGAAAGAACTCAGAACCTGGACTTGGAACTGAAGCATCAATTGCTTAAGTTCCAGGAGGCGACTTCGCTCTACCGTGCTGTGTTCTCACCAAAACTGTCAGAATCTATGTACGGGATAAAGTATAAGTTATAATCTGGAGTACAGAGGATGTACCGTGAGCAAACGGCTTACAAGGCAGCTTTTTAAGGTGGAGCGTACAGGTTTCTGAGGTTAAGTAGCACTTCCTGTTTGCCTCACTTCCTGTTTGTAAATAACAATGACTCAGGTTGATTCATACCTCATATGTATAGCTTTTAAATCACTGACATGATTTGCACAGCTCTGGGCATGGCCAGAAGGGGGAGTGGTGGCTGAGGAGGACAGATTTGAAGCAGGAAGGCTTTCATCTGGCTCCCAGAGGAACTATCTTTGTACCCTGAATGATCAGGCATTATGTGTAGAGCCCAGATTGACCTCAACCGTTTACCAGCTGGGATTGATACCGGTTCTAGGAACCAAACAGTGTCATGAAACAAAGAAAAGAATCAGCAGGGCAAACATTAGACAAAAAATTCTCTGTGGCTGTGAACTATCCGCATTATACCTGCAAATCACTGAGTCAGGATGAGCCCCAAGTTAACACCGGAACGGGACCGGATCTTAAGGTCAGCCTGAGCAGGAGCAGAGACCGCAGATATATGCAGGCTCAGGATCCTGCGCAGACGTATGCAGGCTCAGGATGCTGCGCAGACGTATGCAGCCTCAGGATCCTGCGCAGACGTATGCAGGCTCAGGATCCTGCACAGACACCACAGTTGGGAGATCTGTGGTAATAGCTAAGCCCCCCCCCCCCCACTCCAGTTGTTGCTCGGCAACCAGAATCGAGCAGGGCTGTGCCGTAGCGGCAAGAGCGACTGGAACAGGAGGCAGGGATTACTGCTCTGTCTCCATTACCCTTGACCATCCTTCTCTTCAACTTGGACCCTGCTGTGCCGATGACGGGAAGAGATCTCTCCTCACGACGCCCGAAGGGAGGGGCACTAAAACTGCCCGGAGGGCCTAAAGCGACACAAACGGCTCGCCCTAGACCCCACTGTCTCCCAGAGCACCTTTAAAACCTGTACAAACGGCCGCATTGTCATTGTCAGCTGTGTGGGAGTCTCAGTTAGCAGTGTGGCACCTAAGCCAAGCCACATTTCTTGGAGTCGGGTGCAGGTATCGATTTGTTGGCTGTTGTCCAGAGCAAAAAAATCATCCAATGAGCACGAAGAAGCATAATGATGCAAGATGCGACCCTTTCCTCCCTTCCTGCGGTAAAATTAGCCCATATTTGCAGTCACAGCAGCTGGCAGAGAACATGCGAGGTGGTTCCCGGCACACCTGGATCACTCACCTCCGTCCACATCGGAGATATTCATCTTCTCTAGCAACAAGGTCTTACGTCACTGTCACTCTGACAAAGGTACCAACAAAGCGACACTAGGTACAGATAAAAACAATCACAAAAGCAAGGGCTCTCCGTCAGGGTCAATATGCCTATAGGGGAACCATAAGGAGCGAGGTGGAGCGAGAGAGACAGAGGCGGATGAAGATATGGAGAGAATGGTTTCCTAGCAACGCATCCATGGCAACCACCGCACCACAACACCTCTGAGGAGTCAGTGATACTGGTGAAACACGCACTCATCACCCACTCCAATAATGACGCGGCTTCATCGCTTCGCATTTACTGTCAGCCGATGACAAGACCAGTCACCGTCACACGCCTGCATGCAGCCCAGCCAATCGGCTTTCATCTCATCCGCATCTGCTGGACGAGGAGGAACCTTTATGTCAACCGCAGAGGAAGAGAGGACTACAGGAGAGCTGTTTGTTCAGGTGTCCGTTCTAATTATCCTTGTACGCTACCTCGATTAACACGCAGAGACCGATCCCCCACTTTACCTGTGAACAAAAGTATGCACCCTAAATGGCTTTAGGTTAAAATTTCTAGCATATAAACTTGTGAAATGAGATCCTGAGTTGGAGGTAAATTTAGGACTTTTAAGAATCACCTAAAATATTAACCTCAGTGAAGAAGAGCAGCTGCCGGTGAGTTTGTAAGGCTAACACGCTTGTGTGAGAATCTCTGAGACGATATTAAAACTGAAAGACTTGGTGGCAGTTTCTAAAAATGGTACAGCCCTGCCTGAATTATTAGCGAAACACAACAGAGCTCTGGGGCTTCAGCAGTGACACTTCAGACTGTTTTTATTTATTAATCTAGAGCATGCAGGAGAATATTGCTTTATTTAGAAACCCAGATCTAGAAAGCATGGCTGGCTAGTGGCTGGTATAAAATGGCCTCTGATCTGCCTTGGTCTGCGTGCTGAGATTTGATCACACATCGTACAGCACCTCTGTTGCTCCCAGAATCGAACCCGCGACAGCTTGGGAATTAAGAGCCAGAAGCAGCTCCTGCCTTCTCAGTAACTGAGAGAGGCAGGAGAGGCTGGACGTCTCTAATGTGAACGGGATGAGCGTGGCGCCCCCCAGCCTGCATACCTGATAACAACTGCCGTTGTCGGTCTCGTAGGGTCGGGGGGGCCGGGGGGGCACGGGCAAGGTCCCCAGTGCCGACTTCAGAATCTCCTCACATCCTGCAGTGCGGAGAGGCTCGATTAATGCCACCTCTCACAGTACTAAACCCAAAGCTGTTACTAATGACAAACTGCGAGAGGACAGCACCAGTAAAAGTACAACTGCAGGGGACAAAAAGATTCCCCATCCATCTTCCAATCAATTATCCATATGAGTCACATGGGAGGCAGGAGCCAATCCTAGGCAATGTAGAATAACTTGGGAATAGAATGCCAGCCCATTAGAGACAAACAATTAGATTTTTTTTAAATTGAGTTCAGCAGGAAAATTATGAAAAATCAAAATGAAAGCCAAAACGACTCATAAAATTAACCACCTTAAGGAATGACCTACTATTTACTGCATGCTTTGCATCATGTAAATCAGCAACAAAGACAAGGACAATATGAGGTCAAATGGATCCTTAAAATCCTGGCAGCCCTGTTTCCTGTATTTCCGGTGTGAAGTGAGTAGAGGCATCGGTCATTTCAGACAGTACGACCACTGATAACCAGTCATGGCGTCATTGCTGAACAGCCAGTGGGCGGGGCTTAGTGGTGGGCGGGGCTTAGTCCGCTTTAAAGTTTCGGCATTTCCTGCTGTTTTATTTATTTATTTTTTTTTTTAATTTTTTTACAGTTACTCCGATATTGAACCCCACACAAAGACACCCTCATGTCAGGCAGGGAAATATTACTGTAACAGGAATGGGGGAGATGATGACCTTTTTTTTTTTCTTCTTTTTTTTACAAAAGGGTTCTTTGTCTAAAGCTCAAACAGAGAAGGTCTTTTCTGTCACCCCCTCCCCTTCCCTCCTGGGTGAGAGTTTGGAAGATGGATGGATGGTAAAAAAAAATCTTCAGGATTCTGATCACAGATAAGACCGCGCCCCTCAAAAAATACATTCGACTATCACCTTTGAGGGCAAATACTCCATGACAGAAGCTTTTAAAGTTGATCTTTCCTTGTGCGCCAGGGTCCAGATATTCAGACAGCCTCCTCACCTGCAAAGGAGGACACCTGTATGAGGAGCGCTACGCCCCCGCAGGAGCCCATGCAGGAGATTAATGACAAACACGTGACCTCATTCCCCTCTGCATTTCTATGCAATTACACTTAAAGTCGGAACTCCAGGTCAACGGAAAGGGTGCAGAGGGGAAGAAGAGGGGCAACACGTCGCTATAGTGCATTCAGTCTAAATTCAGGGGACATGGCAGGCTGTGAATGACTCACTTTCTTACAGATAAATGCCATGAAAAAGGTATCCGTACACGTATTTCTTAACCTTTAGTCATAAATCTAGCACTGTGTACAAATAATAAATCATATAGAAATATTAATGGATTCGATGTTTGCCGTCGTCACGATTACCCCTGATGTTACATTTCCCCCCCCGATAATCAGCCCTTTCCATCAAGATAATTCGTACCTCGTCTCTCTGCCCGAACTGTACACCGAGGTTTACCAGATGCTCGATCCGGATGAAGCCGTCCGCATCCTCGTCGCAGACGTCGAACACCTCCTTAAGCTTCGCGAGGAGCTGCAGCAGCTGCTCGTGGTCCGGGAGCGCCGTGCCGTCCATCCCGGTCGGCGGGCTGCCAGCCGAGCCTTTACGGAGGAGAGCCGCTCGGGCGCCGAGCGCCAGGCGCCATCATCGTCCCCCAGCAGCGAGCGGCACTTGTGACATCAGCAGCAGCGGCAGCATCGCAAGCCGGGGGGCGGCGATCCGCTTTTAGCGTTTGTTTGTCAACATCAGGCGGATCGATAAGTGCGATCTAATATTTTACTTTTATTTAGATAAAAACTATTGACTGTAGTGTGAACGCGGACCTTTGCACGGATATCTCATGGAACACTGTCCCTCAGGCCACGTAACGCCTTCTCATTACTAAACCTGCTATTGACGGCCGGAAATTATTATAATTCAGTGACTGGCTTGGCTGCTGCTTCGTGCATCACCACGGTGAAGGGTTACGTAAAGGCACAATCCAGCGCAGTTATTCTATAGTAATAATGTGGAAGATAAGGTGCCCATATAGCCAAAAAAAAGGGCATAATTCATTTATCGACGTTCATTTCCAAACAGATGTAACTAGGTTTATAAAGGGTGACCTGTTCAATATGGTTCTCAAAATTACACTGTTGTACATAACAGGTGCCAATATCCTAATTTTTATTTTGCTAGTAAAAGCTGGTCATCCACAACAGCGGTAGATGGTAACCAGAGCAGCATCTTAAAGACATGCAACAAACCAGGTAGTTCAGCTGATCTGGACATGGATCAGTGCTTCATTACAGTCCTGTAGCCTGAAACTGTATGTTTTTTTATTTCAATAAAATGACATTGAAATGAAAGTAAAATTACGGTACACCTAGAAATTACCTTCCATGATTCCAAAGAACAAAACCAAATCAAACTCTCCAAGAGGTCTGCGACACTGAAGGCTTTATTTTATTTCACTAAAAGAAAAAAAGATTTTAAAATACATTTCTGGAGTCTGTCCATCACTGTGCCCTGAGTACGGAATGGTCTTTCTTTTCATCTGACAAACGCTTGTCTCCTTTACACGCTCCGGTTTGCCCGGACACCTGCGGGCCCTCAGCCAACGTTCTCCACCACAAGCCTGGGCTCCAGGAGAGACTCCCACCGCTCTGTCAGCTGCAAGGGGGTGGAAACGCATTAAAATCTGCGGCACAAAGTACAAACCGGAAGGCACATCTGTGACACGTCCTGACAGAGCAAACAAGCAGGACAAATGCGCTAAAAATCAGCCAGTCAGGATCAGTGAAAGACGTTGGGCCACCTGTTATTAATACACAGCCACGGTCTCAATCAGAACCAATTCACCAAGCACACTGACAAGTCATTTCTCTTGCTGGTGATGCTGCACACAGATCATTATATACATACAGGTCGACATAACGATGACGGTTAGCATATATTACCAAACAGAACAAAAACCTATGTGATTATAGACTGTGCAAGTATACATTTCTGGCGGTAATTTAAGAGAGTTGCATGAAGTTACGGCAAAATGTGCAGATAGTCTGTCAAAAATAAGGCTGCTAGGCTGAGTTTCAGTATCAGGCGGAAATGCAAGGTGTGAATTCAGGACCCATTTGGTGAGTCAGTCTGGGAGCGATTTAGGGATGCAGACGGTGATTATCTGTGACCTGACTGGCTTTACTGTTTCCCAGGACAGTAAAGGTATGTAAACCTGCGCAGTTTTGCCTTATTACCTTGCAATCTCATCGTAATCCGTTACATTTTAAACTAATTTAAGCCATTAAAATGTGTGCTGCATGGCAGGTACCTGGGAGCCATAAGAGAGCGCGGACTCGATGACCTCAGAACCGTCGGGCGCCTGGTAAACCAGGTCAAACTTCCCCGGCCCAGTGGGAGCTGGAGGACCGAACGCAAACCAGTCAGCGGGTCACACTGAGCAAGCTTGCTGAGCGTCATTCACACAGGCAACTGCCTGCCACAGTTTTAGTGAATCTACGTAAAACGAAAAACCATTCTGATGATGACTGATGTCACTACAGTTAACCACTCAATGTTACAGGGACTTTCAAGTTTCTACACGATATAGACCGGGGGTAGGGAATCTGATCCATGGAGGGCCGCTGTGGGTGCGGGTTTTTGGGGTGACCTCTCACCCAACCAATAATAAAGCAGCAATTCCCAACTCCAGTCCCAGAGACCCACTGTGATTGGCTGATTGAGAGGTCATCCCAAAAACCCACACTGACACCGGCTCTCCATGGATCAGGTTTCCTATCCCAGATTTAGACCAATGTTTTCCAATCCGGTCCTTGGGGACCCATAGACGGTCCACATTTTTGCTCCCTACCAGCTCCGGGAGTAAAAATGTGGGTCCCCGAGGACCGGGCTGGGAAACACCGATAAAGACAAAAGACATGATTTATCTACTGGATTTTCATAATTAGAAGTGAGATTTTTTACCTGCGACTGAAGACAGCAGCTGCACATGTACCTGGTTGGTACTCTGGTCGAAACCAACGATCTTCCCTTCCTAACGCAGGGACAGGAAAATGACGCTAATGAGCTACTAGGAATGACACAGTAGAATATGACTGATCCAGCTGAAAACCCAAAGAATGTGGCGTGAACCAAGGACCCAGCAAACCGTGGAGGCTGGTTCAGTGTGAATTACTGCCTCTCACCTAAGCTGTCAAACCAGACAGCGACCGGACCCTTAGGCATCCGCTCACTGGCCAAATAAAAGCAACAGAGTGTGGAAGAGAAGCACGGAAGGCAGCTCACCTTGTAATCAGACACCTCGGGTGTGTAGCTCTCTGTCAGCTCCAGCAGCTGTGAAAAAAACAGGAGCTTCAATCAGGACACATGGCGCGTTCGTTTTTCTCTCGGAACTCGGAAATTCCGAGTTGAGTGACATCACGTCCGACAATCTCCCGTTCGAGCTACCCGCATCTCGGAACAAACATGGCTGCCTCCATGAACACGCTGCTGTGTGTTGTTGCTTTATATTTTAGCAGATTTGGAGTTTTTCAAATGGAGAAAATGGAGATTTTTTCCGAGAGACAAACAAGAAACACGAACTAGTCAAACCACATTAAAAGCTTTATAAAATATTTTAGTACATTCATAGCGATATTCTTTTTTCGATCGGTAAACAAACTACAAACAAACCAAGTCGCCACGTTGAAATTACGTCACGGGGGCAACTGGGACGACAAAATCTTGTCCGACTTCAATGTCATAAAAGGGGCATGTTTCCGACGGGAAGTGATGTTTTTAGTGACGCTTCGTGACGTTTTCATCCGAGTTCCGACTTGGAGAGAAATAATCGAACGCGCCAACAGTACTGACCCTGGGGGGGGGGGGGGGGGCATCCTTACTCTCGCAATCCGCATGATCCTGATCTGCAACACTGCCAGTGTCAGTAATGACATCACAGAGTGTAACAACAGCTCTGAAAGCAGGGGGGGGAGGGACAAAGCCTCAAAGTGACACACTATGAAGAACTGTGCATGTTCATATGTCAGAGAGAAGCTATGGCTCAGGACCCCCCTCCATGGGGGGGGGGAGGGGAGGGGGGGGCAAAAGCCTGGACTGTCTGGGGGTCCCCAAGGAATGGGTTGGGAAGCACTGCTGCAGTTAATGAAGCAGATGTGAGGTTTTAGGCTATGCATGTGAGCATATCTACCCCCAGGCCATCAGAATACTAAACTCTGTTAAATAACCTTTTGACCTTTTACTCTCCTACCTATTGAGCACTTTATAACCACTGATAGGTCTCAAGTTTTCATTCTACTTATATAGTGCAATAACTAATTCACTGTGAAACGTAGTGCAATAATTTTTCATACTATATATCACCCACTGAATATATTCGTGTATATATATATATATATATATATATATATTTATTGTTGTACTTTGCTGCTTTTTGCTGCCATGCTGTCTTAACTACCTCTGTAAGGTGAAATGTCTGCATGTTGTATGTATGTTGTATGTATGTTGTATGTATGTTGTCTTGAGTGCACTTGTCCCTTATGTCCGCACATTGAGCCTTGGAGAAACGCAATTTCGTTCTGCCTGCATCCGTCTTTGTACTGTTGTATGGTGTGAATGACAATAAAGTTTCACTTCACTTCATATCAGCCCGAGAATACCTTGAAGGCGATTGTCTGTCCCACGGCTGGGGGTGCGGCCAGCAGGGGCATCGTGGCGTAGTCTCGGGGAGGGACAGCAGCTGGGGGGCTCTAAACGGGCCAAACAAACGATACTGAGGACATTTCACAAACCGCAATGCGACTGTTTTGGCGCTAGGCAGGTAACCCACCTGCAGAACCACGGCCCGGTTTGTCAGGGTCTCCTCCAGGTGCTGCTCTCGCGTCCCATTTCGCTTGTCATAAAAGTTATTTTGTCCTTCAGCCCTCCATGGCCCCCTCTGTCCGCGTCCCCCTCTGCCTCCACCTCTGGGACCGCTGTCTCTGTGTGGCGGGTTCCCCCTCCCCACACCCGGGGGCCCACCCCTAGCCGGGGGCCCACCCCTACCCCGGGATACTGCGCCAAGGATTCCTTGCATTACGGGAGGTGGATGCTTGATGACCAACTCGGTCTCACTGCTGCTATCTGAGCTGGAGCTGTCTGCCGGCTTCCTTGTGATGCTAGTGGAGCCTGGAACCAAAGGGCGTGGGCGGAGCTTACGGGTGGAGCTGGAGGCGGGACTACAGACAGGGGCGGGGCCAGGGGTAGCCTGCAGGGACGGCTTTCTGCTTGGCGCCGCAGTACCAGACGAGTCAGAGAAAGAATCACACGGAAACTTTTTTAGCTTATCCGTCTTTGCCGGGACTTGGCTGACCGTCTTCACCGGGGCCCTCACAGGGACGACTGTTTTTGGGGCTTCCTCTTCATCGCTGCTCTCTGAGGAGCTAGAGACCAGTTTCTGAAGCACTACCTTGCAGTTGGTGGAGGCAGTTGGTGGTAGGACCTCCTTCAAGGTGGGGGCCTCAGGTTCGTCTTCCAGACGTGTCATCGGGCCCCCGTGCCCTTCTGTCTGGGGTTTCATCTTTTTCTTTCTCCTCTTCTTCTTCTTCTTCTTCGTTGCCATCTCTTCCTCTGCCAAGGCGACCCTCATCTCCTGAGTCTCCTGGCTCTTGGCAGATTTCTTTCTCTTCTTCACAGCACGCTCCTCATCATCTTCAGACTCCTCCTCACCGTCTCTCCCCCTTTTCTTGGCCTTCGGAGTCTCCTCCGCATCGCTGCTGAATTCACAGCCATTCGCTTGTGGCAGAACATCCACCTTCACTCTGCCGAACCACAAAACACTTGTCAGATGTAATGCCTACCAGGCTTGTGTGCAGTTGAAACAAGCTTAGTGTTCATCTATGTCTGAAATTTCAAACCACGGCTGCCAACTTTGGTCAGCTGGCTGGAGTAGGATTTTCAATTCAAGACCAGTTTGAACACACATTTACATGCATGTAACTATTGTTTTTCTAACCTTGTAAATAGTCTACTGGGTTTGCAAACTATCCCAGCACTTTAGATGTAGCTAATTCAAGTTTATAATGGAATAATATACATTTGCTTTAAAATTAGACGTTAGAGTCTGAAAGTGAGTGTCACCCTAGATGCGTGATAATTGGCAACCCTGTAAAATACACATAAAATGCAGAATTGTCATAAGAAGTGTTTATAATAATATCTAACGTTACTGCTAACACTAATACAACTTCTACAATAATTTACTCCTACTATGTCACTGCAGGTGCGTACATTTTGGAATTCGATATAGCCAATCGTTTTAAGCTAACAAAATGGATTTTTACTTATCTAGCAACAGACACAAATGAAAGCTTTTGCATCTTCAACGTGAGGACGCGTGGCGTTCAGCAAACTGCAGTTGGCGGTGCCTAAACCACTGCGATCTTCTCAGCTGTTATAATTCGTGCCCCACAGTAGATATATTCACCTGATGCTGTCGTTGTCACGCACTACATAAACGCTCTCCGCGGGAGGCAAGTAACAGTCTTCAATGAACAGGTTTAAGACAGCCCGCCGACTGAAGTCAAACTTGTCCCTTATGATACTCGCCAGATCCGCCACGACGCGGCATTTGTTTAAGTCCACGAGTACCCAGCACATACGGCAGTCCGACACGGCCGGAGGCGGATAATCAAAGTAAAGGCGGACGCGCACCGCGTTGGGACAGGAGGCTGCCATTGCGGTCCACGCAGCAACCGGGCGCTCGAGATTAAAAGCAAAACGTCGCTTCACTGCTGCCATCTACAGGACGGGATGATAATTACACGCCTCCTTCTTCATGGTTGGCTGTAGATCACGTGATCCGTAGGTCATATGACTTTCTGTATTTCCCAAGCCTCGCTTCCCCATTTACTAAAGTAGCAGTCACGTTACAAGAATGGAGCTGCCCCGGGTCGCTGTATGGCTCCTTTCTTTCCTGCTAATCGATTCAGGTCAGATAAGAAAATGATTCATTGACTGATGCATTCACATTTGTGAATCTGTACGGACGCTGTTTGTATTTACTTTGTTGACGTTTAAACGCAAATGCATGCACATCATTCTTATTTGTGTATGTGGAAGACGAAAGCGTTGCACTTTGTCCTGCAGTGTATCTTCATTTATGAAACTGTATGGATAAAATTTACCAAATTTGGTTTTTGTTTTTAAAAAAAGTGAGACGTGTATTGTCAATGTACGGAAAATTCAGGCTTTAAAGTAAGAACTCAAAGGTTTTTAAATCAGATTGACTTGAATCACGTGATAGGTTTATGATCCATAAACGTGCAAACAGAATTAAGTTTAATTGTTGTTATATAAAGTTCTAAGTAGCCTAACAGGTATAGGCTAATGAATATGATTAACATTGTTTCTACTATAACAGTAATTTACGAATATCAGTGAAACAATACTTTTGTAATGTATTTAGTAAAATGCTACTAAATTCAGTAGAATCACAAGTAACTGATTTTGCGCCTCAATGCAGGAAGGACAGAACCAGCCTCTGAATCGTGGGGCTACGTGGATGTCCGAGAGGGGGCGCACATGTTCTGGTGGCTGTACAACGGCTCTGGGGGGAATTTTAAGGAGCTGCCCCTTGTCATGTGGCTGCAGGTGAATGACTAAGATGACCTTCAGTCTTCTACGGGAGAAACCCATAAGGAAGCGCATGTCTGTCTAATCAACAAAAATAGTCCTGTTTTGCAATTACGTTACTGTCCACTAGATGTCATCGACACGTCCCGCATAGGTCGCAGTTAGAATCTTAACGAAAAAAATAAGTTTTAAGGATAATAAAGGAGGGAAAACGTGTTTGCATCATAATCTCTTATCTCATTGATATTGATTTTAATTATCCTGTATTTACTGTTTTTTGATTAAATTATTATTATTATTTTAATTTCCAAGTTATTTTCTTGTTCTGTTTTTAACCAGGGAGGACCAGGGGGCTCTAGCTGCGGTTTTGGGAACTTTGAAGAGATTGGACCCCTGGACAGGGACCTGAAACCCAGAAACACAACTTGGGTAAATGGAAGCTTCTCAGTAGCTGCAAAATGAGATCTTATCTGGTCATGAATCTTTCATAAATGTCGGTAATCACTTCCCCTGTCGGCGCAGTTAAAAGGTTGTTTTTGCAGGACACAGATCTTTCGCTGGTTCTGTGATGATCTCAATGTGTAGCTCTCCAATGATGGCTGGGTTACAGAAATTCAGGTTATTGGAGCACCGATTCAGTGCAAATTATTGCACCCTCAGGTGAAGGCAGCCAGCGTGCTCTTTGTGGACAACCCGGTTGGCACCGGTTACAGCTACACCGATAACAATGGCTTTGCCAAGGACGTGGCCACGGTGGCAGAGGACATGATGGTCCTGCTCAAGAACTTCTTCAGCTCCAAAGCAGAATTCCAGGTAGGCGGGGCGTCACTGAGGGCCTCTGCTTGGCACAGCCGCTTTACCGCTTTACCGTCCGTTTATCGCTTTACCGTCCGTTTATCGCTTTATCGCTTTACTGTCCGTTTATCGCTTTATCGCTTTACTGTCCGTTTATCGCTTTACTGTCCGTTTATCGCTTTACCGCTTTATCGTCCGTTTATCACTTTACCCGTCCGTTTATTCTCCTGTTTTTGGCAGGGTGTGCCGTTTTACATATTCTCTGAATCATACGGCGGGAAAATGGCCGCAGCAATCTCACTGTACCTCTCAAAGGTAATCGCAAAGGTTCTTTACGTCACAAAATTGTGAAAAGATAAAACTATGAAATGTACTTGCCAATTGGTGAGCATTTAAAAAAAATTTACTCTAAATTTTAAAGCGCGCCTAACTGGTCAAAGCTTTCTGGGTTTATCCTGACACTTTGTTTTTTTTTCCAGGCTATATCAAAGGGGGAGATTAAATGCAGCTTTGCTGGGGTGGCCTTGGGCGACTCCTGGATCTCACCTATGGGTGTGTTCGCATTTCCATGAGTCAAGAAAAAAGCTAACATAGGATATAGCATGTGCGCCACCTGTGCAGTATCGTGTCACATTTAAAAATACAAGGCAACATGAAAGTCTGACATTTCCTGTCATATTTCTAGATTCTGTTCGCACTTGGGGCCCTTATCTCTACAGCACAGTAAGTAATGCATCTGCTGACTCATCAGTCACCTCCTGGTGGCCCCCGGTCACTTTCTTGCTAAAGTATTCTGCCACTCCCAGTCTCTGCTGGACGACAACGGGCTAAGCGAGGTCAGAAAAGCAGCCAAGGCCGTGGAGGAGGCCATCACCCAGGGCGACTTCCTGAAGGCCACACAGCTGTGGTCGACTGCAGAGTCCGTGGTGGAGGAGGTGAGATCTGGGCGCACCTCAAACGCCACGTGCTCCTTCGTTTGTCGGTAGCAGAGGTGACACTGCGATTCATGCATTGAAGCAGCAACATGCCCAGGAAAATGCTGCAGATTTTCTGCACGCCAGGACTTTTTTGATGCAGAGGTTTCTGGGATGCCATATATGGTCTGCCACCGGGGCAGGAGGTCAGGGGTCGGGGGTCAGTTATGTCCTCACCTGGACATCCTACAGCGCCGTCTGAAACACCCAGTATCCATCAACTCTGTGTACTTTCAGAACACCAATGGGGTCAACTTCTACAACATCCTCACCCCAGCATCAGAAGAGCGAGTAAGCAGCGTAGCGGGACACGGATACCTGGGTAAGAGAGCATCACACCTAAGAGCGTAAGAGGTTTTTGTTTTAGGAATGTTTATCCATGAACACACACTTTTTTCGTTATTTGTGATTTTTTTTAGTTTAATCGCTAAGCTTTCGCCTGATGATTCCTACAGCCCTGCTGGTGAGACGCCACGTCAAGCCTCTGCACAGACAGTCACTCAGTGAATTAATGAACGGCCCAATCAGAAAGAAGCTGAAGGTCATCCCCCAGAACGTCACGTGGGGAGGTGGGCCCATGACTTCCTCCACACTGGTTATGTTTACTGATGAATTCCCCCACCCCTGGTTTACCTAGTGGTCTGTCATGTTATCTGCCATCGAATCATCTTGCCTGCCAATTTCCCCAGTCGTATTACCATGCTGTCTTCACATCATTTGTGTTCCCAACCTTCCTATCCAACAATCACAAAGATACATGACCAATTTAGATAACTGGGACACACCTAGACCAGTGTTTCCCAATCCGGACCTCAAGGACCCACAGTTGGTCCACATTTTTGCTCCCTCCCAGCTCCCTGCCAGACAGCCCACATTTTTGCTCCCTCCCAGCTCCCTGCCAGACAGCCCACATTTTTGCTCCCTGCCAGACAGCCCACATTTTTGCTCCCTGCCAGACAGCCCACATTTTTGCTCCCTGCCAGACAGCCCACATTTTTGCTCNCCACATTTTTGCTCCCTCCCAGCTCCCTGCCAGACAGCCCACATTTTTGCTCCCTGCCAGACAGCCCACATTTTTGCTCCCTGCCAGACAGCCCACATTTTTTGCTCCCTGCCAGACAGCCCACATTTTTTGCTCCCTGCCAGACAGCCCACATTTTTTGCTCCCTGCCAGACAGCCCACATTTTTGCTCCCTGCCAGACAGCCCACATTTTTGCTCCCTGCCAGCTCCCTTGTCGATCAAAAACGAGGACTGTCTGTGGGTCCCCATGGACCGGATTAGGAAACACTGACCTAGGCCATTGATGATGCCTGTATTCGAACCTGACTGAGGATCTCTCTAAAACTTTAGAGAGTGAGCAGTTATACAATAATACTGCGGGTTACAGGATAATCCTAAAAAAACAAATGCTGGTGCTCCCCCTGCAGGCCAGTCAGAAGCAGTGTTCAGCTACATGGCTGGGGACTTCATGAAGCCAGTGGTGGACATTGTGGACGAGCTCCTGGCGGCTGGAATCAATGTCACGGTCTACAACGGGCAACTGGACCTGATTGTAGACACGATAGGTAATCACCCCGGAGAATAAATCCCGACAATCCGCGGCATATTGTTACTGTTTGGTTTCAAGTTCGAGTCTCTGAGATGCAGAGTATGCACATGAACTTGAAAGTGAAAGAGTGACTGATTCTATCTTACAAATGATGTTGTGGGGGGGTGGGGCGGGAGGTCAGGAGCTGTGGGTGAAAAAGCTGAAGTGGACGGGTCTCCCATCCTTCAACAACCTGCGATGGACGCCGCTGGATGACCCAGCTGCTCCGGGCCAGACGGGAGCCTTTTACAAGACGTACCAAAACTTCGCATTCTATTGGATCCTCAAAGCTGGTCACATGGCAAGTGGATAAATCAATACAATGCAACATTACATCTACACAACCCAGTAACAAACTATTCAGTTGGTGCTTGTTCATTTGTGTTTCTTATATAAGTAACACTTATGTTTGTAATCCACTATTTGCACGTGATTAATTACACTCAGAAGTGAGTAGTAGCCCCGTATGTGGGTGGTGGTGGCTTAATGGTTAGGGAAGTGCACTTGAAATTGAAAGATTGCAGGTTCAAATCCTCGGCCAGCAAGGTGCCACTGAGGGTCCCTGAGCAAGGGCCCCCCCCCCCCAAGCACTGCTCCCCGGGCGCTGAATTAGCTGCCCCCTGCTATGTCACATATGGGTTAAATGCAGGGGACACATTTAATGACGATTAATCACTAAATTCTAATTCTATTTCTGTCCCGTAATGCCTGTTCCTGATTTTCCCACAGATCCCGTCAGATCAGGGAAACATGGCTCTGAAGATGCTGACAATGGTGACGAGGCAGGAGTGAATCGCCGCGCAGATAACAGCCGTGACAATCAACCAAATATCGCCAAATTTCACCAAATACGCGTGTCCCTTATGTGTTCCTCACGGACCCTGTCTTCCTGTCTATATGTTTGATTACCTCTTGAAAGTGTTTTGTTTACTGCTGTACATGTATTTGAGCATATTAAACACTTTTTTTTCTCAAATGTGGTATACGCAATTGCATTGCTGAATCAAACAGGAAAATTAGAGAGAAAGTTAAGTCTTAGATTTTAAGTATTTTATACATCTTTTTTTATTTTATTGAGGAAATTGACACCCTGCCTTGATTCATACTAGTATACATCCTGGGACTTTCAACCTATTGCTACAAGTTTAGTTCCTGAACAATCATACTATCATTTTCCACAGTGAGTAGGTTAGAACTCATCAAAGCTGACAAGTTTTATAAAGGTTTTGATTCTCCTTATCCCGCAACGCCAAGCAGCTCATGTCTCCTGTGTAACGTCCTTGACTAGATACCGTGACTGCTGTATGTTAATTCAGTTTCCATGACAAGTTTCATTTATGGCGCTACTAATGCATTTTCAGTGTCTGACACTTGAAGCCACATCAAACTGTAATAACTGCAATTTCCCAAACAGAGAAGACAATTGAATTGCTGCTATGTAGCCAAATTGGAAGACATAAATAAAACCAGTAACATTTTAAACCATTAGCCAATCTTATCCGCAAAGGGCCAACGTGTACGCGGGTTTTTGGTCAGCTGTTCAAACCCATGTGTGAGGACTTTTCAGCCAATCACTCCTCTAATTAGTAATTAATTAGGTAGCTGCAGCGAAAACCCACACACACAGCGGCCCTTTGCGGATAAGATTGGCCAGCCTGCTTTATCCTATTCTATCGGTGTTTGAAAGGAAACAAAAATGTGGACTGCCGGGGTTCCCGGAGGACTGGGTTGGGAAACACTGGACTAGACGATATTTTCCTCAGCGCAGGTTAAACGCATAAAATAATGCAACGTGCATCCTAAAACGTACTGGTTTTGTACATGGGCGTAAATTACGCCCCCCCCCCCCATAAATCAAAACCAGCTAATACAACCCCACCAATAATCGTGTTTCCCCCGTAATGGGTGGAGACCTCAACGCCCCCCCCAATACCCAAGCCAAAGTTACGCCCTTGATTCTGTATAAAAATCAGGGCTGGCAGCTCAAACGCATCTGGCTTGACACTTTGCTTTCAGACTTTAACGCACACGCAAGAAATTTTACGGCAAATCAATATTATTCCATTACAAACCAAAATTAGCCACATTAAACGTGTTGGGGGAGTTTGCAAACCCTACAGAATATTTACAAGATAATAAAACTGTTACATACATGTAAATGCGTGTGCAGAATTTTCTCGAATCGAAAATCTCGTGCAAGCCAGCTGACCAAAGCTGGCACCCTTGAAAACATACTTCTGGTGAAGCAAAAGCGTTAAACTACAGCTACTGTTAATATGTTGACTCTACTGTTTCTGTGCATCCGAACCACATTCAAACTAGTTTTGCACCGTGTTTAATCAGCGACAAAAGCACCACAGAAATGAATATTCACGAGCAGGTGCGTTGCATGACACGGGACGTTGCGGCTCTCCCAGCAAAACCATGCAATTCACGTCCGCATGAATCGGTGGGGCAAAACAATCCCGTTGCCCCCCAAAAAAATTCAATTACAGTTCTAAGTTCAGTGGGACCAGTTTAGAATAGACATGCTTGAAGCTGGAGAAGATATCCGATTTACCTTTGTGCGTCTGCATGGATTTGCTGCCCCCTGAGCTGAAAGGAGGCGCCGTGCTTATAGGTGTCACGCTGTTCCACATTGTGCGGCGGCACAGCAGTGGTCCACGTGGGAAAGCGACCCGGGCGCCGTTTAACCCAATTACCCGGCGCCCGTGGACTGCAGGCTGCGCACATGGAGCCAGAGACCCGCCCGGGACTCCTGGTCAGTTCCCAGAGAGCCTGCTGTTCCGCGGTCAGGGGTAAATCAGATTTTGTAGTAAGAGGCAGTTTCCAATTCAGAATATTCGCTAAGAAATCTTTGGTGGACATTAGCATAGACGTAGTTGTGAGAGAGATCAAATTATTTACAATGGTCAGAACTGAATAGAACGATTAATTACTTCAGCAGCTAACCTTATATAGAACCAGACTTGCTTTTGTCAAGCTATGTCTGGATATAACTGTTTTTATACGATAGAACTAATCAAATAAAACAAAATCTCTGGATATAGAAAAGCTCATAAACTATATGTACACTATATGGACAAAAGTATGGGGACACCTGGCCATTACACCCACAGGAACTTCTATGACATCACATTCTAAATCCATAGGCATCAGCATGGAGCTGGACCCCCTTTGCAGCTATAACAGCTGCCACTCTTCTGGGGAGGCTTTCCACAACATTTTGGAGTTTGTCTGTGATGTTGGCACTGATGTTGGATGTGAAGGCCTGGCTCACAGTCTCCATTCTAGTTAGGGTGACCAGATAAACCATGTCAGGGAGGACACTCTGAGGACAGGAATTGTAAACTATCATTTCAATTAAAAGGACCTGAATTTCACTTTAGCACTGAGTCCTTGCTGTGTGCTGATTGGTCAGTCTCCTATAATTGTGCATGTGTCACTAATGTTAATGTGAAACCGCTGGTTGAGTCTTTCAGTCAAGGAAACAAACCAAAGCACAAGAAGAACTGAACTATACCAAACTCACCCAACCTTGTCTTTATGGACATTGCTTTGTGCACTGGGGCAGAGTCATGTAACTCTGCAGTTACTGAGTCAACAGATCATTGGTAGCTTTCACGCACTCAGAGGCTCAGCACTCAGAGGCTCAGCGCTCGGCGACCGCGTTTGTTTACTTTATGTGGCCTAACACTTCATGGCTGAGTTTCTGTTGTTCCTAAATGCTTCTACTTTGCAATAATACCACTTACAATTGACCGTGGAATATCTAGAAGTTTAGAAATTGCTGACTTATTGCAAAGGTGGCATCCTGTGACTGTACTGCCCTTGAATTCACTGAGCTCTTCAGAATGACTCATTCCTGTTTAGATTTTTTTAAACCTGACTGCATGGCCAGGGGCTTGATTTTATGCACCTGTGGCAACGGGTCTGAGTGAAGCAGCTGAATTCAATTAAGAGGTGTGTTCCAGTACTTTTATCCCTATAGTGTATGTGCACGTATGATATCACATGACCTGATACCAGATCAGCAGGTGTGAAAAGATGAGTGCACGGATATAGAGACGCCAGCAAGCAGATGGGTTTAATGGGTTTGCGTTGCAAGGGTCACCATTATTGTTGTTGATTTTTATTTATTTATCAGGGGCTTTTATTAAAAGCCACATACAACTGAGAAAGCAGAGCCAGCCTGGAGCAACTGGAGTTAAGGGTCTCGACGATGACATCACTCTGCAGACCACGGGATGTGAACCAACAACCTTCTGATCACAGACACAGTGTCCTGCCTCACAGAACTACACGATGGCCTATTGCTGCTGTTGTCAATGAGGGAAATCACCATAATTTATAATTGATATGAGCTGCTTTTAAAGAAATTTACCCCGCATATTACCCTGGTGAAAGGTGGAATTACTGTATCCAAACATTGCCAGTTTTCCATGCATTTGAAATATATCAGGTGTTCGCCACAACCCGCTCCTGGATCCGCTCCTGGTATCCGCTCTTGGACCCGCTCCTGGATCCACTCTTGGACCCGCTCCTGGATCTGCCAACCTCATCGCCGACATAATAACGGCAAATATTGCGGAATCTTTATATTGCAGTGGATAGGAGAACCAAAGTGTGTTGTTAGATTTGCTGGAAGTGCATAAAGTGACTCAGGCACCCCTACACATTCACGAGCCCCCCCCGGGGTGACAGCAGCCTGAACAATGATCATTATGTCGGCTGAGGACTCGTCACTGCTGGCCCATTGTGTGGCCCCCATTCACCACGCCGTCATTTACACTTTCATTGGCAGCTATTTAGTCCCAATAAAAAGTTCAAGACAGCAATTTGTGAATCCTGCTCAGCCAAGTAGAAGTGTGGAGAAGCAGGGAAAGAAAGAGCGGTTTAAAAAGTCAATTAATTGTGCTCTTTTGGGGGGAGTCTCCAGTGGACGACCCCAAAGACACTGGGGCCCAGGTCCCTCACATCTGCCCACAGCTCTTTCCCAGGCCACACTCCTGGGGCTGCGTCACGCTGAAGAATGGTCTGATTCAGCCTCCTTGTCGCCCTTTCCACCACAAACACATTTGTATATCATTTTACGGTACAGCTATTCCATTTACATAAGATCGTGAGCTATAATGGGCCGCGGTCCTAAGCAGAGCATCTCAAAAGACCACGCTGAACAGCACATTTTAAGCGGCTTTCTCTTCAGTAACTGCTCTCCATTATATACTGAAGCAGAGATTGGGCCTCATCTTCCATTAGACCCTTTTATCGCACCAAACACATCAAAGGACACAAAGGCTTCACACTTTAACTGATGGCGCTGTGCACAGATGTCTGCTGACTTCATCGGCTCATCGTACTGCCAGTGGCTGCAGGGTCTGGTTCAGCGAAATGTCTCTGGTGTGGTAATAACTTAACTGCCCCCAAAATAATGGACCTTTTCCCCTGCCACCAAGCACCGAGCCGCAAACTGGTGGTTTTTCCATTATGAAGTATGTGAGCCGTTGCCCAACCCATGAACCAGGCATGTGCAGCCGTTATAAAAAACAATCATAAATTATTTAACTCATTCAGGACACAAGATTTTTGGATTATACGTTCAGTACACAGTTGCAATGGGGAAAATGGTAAAATAACACTTCAAAAGCATGACCAGAGCATTTCACATTTAAATTGTTTACATTTAAAGTAAATTCCCAGAAGAATTTAAAGTCTAATAATAATGAAGACAAAGCAATTTGTACATACGCCTCCTTTCCCGCATTCTGTACAAAATTCAATCTAATATTCTTTCATAATTCATACCCTGCATATACCAACTTTAAACTAACATAAACATGGCAATTATTTCGTAATTAAGCTATAAAACATAATCCTGTAATGAAAAGACAATTCAAGTGAATTAAAATTATATTATCCCTGAAACAACCAACATCCATCCATCTATCCTCTCTGCTGCTGAGTACAGCATGAAGGTGAACCCAGAGCCAATCCCAGAATGCACAGGGCACAAGGCAGGGGGACACCATGGATGGGATGCCTGTCAATCACAGATAGCTGACTGGCATGTCGGCAAAACACATCTGCGACTCGAGAGCCTCATGCAGCCATGCAGCTGTTCCACAAAAAAGCAGCATTATGATGAGCAGCAGGTGGCGCACTGGTTAAAGACTTGGGTCTTAAGAAGCCTCAGGTGAGCTTCTGGTTTTGGACTCTTGTATAAAATGGATACAGCACTAAATCCTAAAATATACAGGTGACTCTGATTGAAATTGCTTACTGGCAGGAGGTGGAAAGTTCAGGTTCAGAAAGTATAAATGCAGACCAAGATTTTGTTTCAACCAACCAGTTGACCATAAAGAGTCACACTCCCCCTAAAGAGTCTGGGTAGCTTGTTCACAGTGTAGCCGGCGGGGACACCTCCTGTGACATCAGGGCTGGGAATTCCCCATCCTGGAGTGAGTGCATGTGTTCATGTGGGGGCCCAGGAGGGGCAGGGTCAGTCCAGAGCAAACTCACAGTGGTTCTGTCCCGTCCGCAGAGCGGCCCGATACACAGACACGAAGTCCGTGTAGCGTGGAGCACAGCCCAGCCAGGCCTCGCCGAAATGCTCCGCCCCGGTGAACAGGAAATGCCCCCCCCCCGCCTTCACCCGGCACCGCCGCAAGGTGAGCATGCGACCGCGCCACGGCCCCTCCCCGCCGGTCTGCCTCTCGAACACGCTGCTGCGCTGCCGGAACACCCGCTCCACGGAGACCTCCACCAGCGACATCTGTCTGCGGGAATCATGGGACACGTCGCTGATGGATCCTCGCACCACTGGAAAGGAAGACAAGGAGAAATCATGTTATTAATATTGTTATTATTATGGAAGTCACAGGCATGATCGCGTCCCTTCAAAGTTCTATTTTCCTTTCCAAAGTCCAACGACGTGCATTTTAGTGATCTAGATCTCCATCCAGGGTGTCCCCCTACCTCCTGCCAAGATTTTCCCGCAGATCTGTATAACTAAAATTTCTATATTTTATACAAACTCTACGTTTCTTCCATTAACCTTTATCCATTTTCTAGCCACGTCTCTAGGGAGCCTGCAGCCTATCGCAGGCAGCATAGGGCACGTGTCAGGGGACCCCCCCCCCGCCCCCCCAGGCAGGTTGCCAGTCTGTAATTATGCTGTTACATTGAAATAAAGCATAATGAATCGACAAAGAGGCTCATGGGAAATGAAGTCCCAAATGAAAGCCAACATAAGCCCCTCACCCAGAGAGCGCCCCCCCCCCTCCACCGGTGTTAAGCGTTTACACTTTCATTAAGCCGCTTCCCAAAAAGACAGCACTGCCCGTTTATAGGATCAGCGCGGGGGTGTGAGGCTGTACGCCGAACGGCTTCACGGGGGTCCTGACTTTCTGCCTCGCTGGCGCTGTGAGCCCGCCTGAACGCCATTGTGCAACTGCCCCCAAATCTGCGAGTGCTCACTGCTGTGGTGAGGGGGGGGGGGGCTTTCTGTGCCGGCTGTGGAGATCTGCTGAGATAGGTCGGCTGCGGGAATGGCTGATTCACTGGTGGGGGGGGGGGGGGGGGGGCTTTCTGGACAGCAGCCCCCGCCCCCGCCCATCCCCCGCATGGGGCTTTTTGTTACTTTAATTAGTCCTTGTGGGACACAGCCTGGATGGGGAAACTGTTCAGCGGGGGCACTGACTGGGGCTTCATGAACATGACCACGGTGTGAAGTAACTGCTCATACTGCCCCCGCCGCCGCCCCCCACCTTAACAAGCACCGAGTGAATAATGACGATATCATATTACCAGTTTCCTGGATACCTTGTAGCTCTGAGACATAATTAACTGATTTTATTCTTTATTTTTATTCGTACCTGCTCACCCCCTATAATCTGCGGTAAAATTAAAATTAATTTATTACATTTTGAAATCGCGCCAAATAAATGTGTAATCGTGACTGGATAGTGCTGGCCGCCAAGTAGCCTGTTCTCGGCATCCTACCGAAGTCACTGCTGCAGACGGCCAAGAGGAGCTCCGTGTCGTTGCACGGCCGGCATTCAGCTGCAAAAATAAATAAGCGAAAAATAAGGAAACAAAACTGCATATATTATAACATCCCTTCAAAACACAGAAGCACAAAAACAGCTTCCTGTCCTGCACACCAAAACACTGTAGCTCTGATCTTCCACCGGCTCTTACCCTGCACCATAGTGGGGGGGAAGCCGGGCGCGGTGCTCCCATTGCTCAGCAGCTCGTATCGGAAGCCCACGGTGCGGCGGCCGATGTCCCTCTGGAGTGTCGCCTGGAGAAAAATGGCCGGTTTCTGCGGTCCGTCCGCACGAAAGCAGTACACCTGCTCCGGCCTCCCGCCCTCAGTCACCAGCAGGTGCAGCTGTCCCGCACGCTCGATATACGCGCTAGCGCCGCCGAAACCCCCGAAAGGCTTAATGCAGACGGTGCTGTGGCGTGCGGAGGACAGGTTGGGTTCTAGCACGACCCGCAATGCCTGACTGGGGTACATCCACTCCACGGCGCCCTCAGTGCAGCGTAAGCGCACCTGCTGCACGACGCGGGACTGGGGATCCCGAAGTAATCCACTGGGGCGAGAGCAGACAATGTTAGTGTCAAGGCGAGTCACCTGCATTTGTATTGATGTGGAGTTTAATTAAGACGCTAAGTACAATATGAAATCTTGCTATGAAATATAGCCAAGTACTTTCTAAGAACCAATATTACATTTTTTTGGTCTTTTTTTAAACCTGGAAATATTTAGTTTACATTTTAACCCCTCAATCAAAGGTTCATTTATTAGTTCTCATTAATTTTTCGATTAAATTTCAGCAGGCTATGCGTAATCTCTTACTTCAATCTGGCAAATAAATCGGACACAGGTAAAACTAATTAAATGTTCTGATATTTCATCAGTCACTCTACTGGAAATATGAAGATAGGCGTTATGGATTAGAAATTAAAAATTGCAAGACAGAAAAATTATATATAAATAAATGATATATAGAAATATTTGCAAAAAATATTTATAAATATATATTTGATGTATAAATAAATTATACATAGATAAGCCTACATTTACATATACATGTATATTATATATTTTTATATGAACCTATAGAAATTCTTCACAAGCTTAACCTGGGATTAACAGCGGGTACTTGCATGAAAAAGAATACAAACAGGATTTTAGTTAAATTGTGAAATCAACGCTTTTTAAAAAGAAATCATAAAATAAAACTTGTCAATGATGCCTTACCTTCCTCTCCAGTTGCACAAATCTGCGGCGCATGCTGACAAACAGGCAGACAGACAGTACAGAAAGAACAGCCGAACATGTTGTTCTCCCCTAGGTGACATTGCAGCTGCCACCGATTGCAATGCACTCGCAGACCAAAGAAATCAGTTGGAGGACAAAACATAACCGAGGAGATTATCGTTACCCGGTACGTTTGCAAGTATGACACTTACCAATGCAGATAGTGCACAAGCGCGCGTGGACATTTCAGTTGTTTCTGCTTGCTCAAATCAGCCAATAGCTTTCCTTTAGTTGACTGATTATTGATGGCCAGATTCAATAGAAGAATGTGTGTGTGTGTGTGTGTGTGTGTGTGTGTGTGTGTGTGTGTGAGAGAGAGAGAGAGAGAGAGAGAGAGAGAGAGAAAGAGAGATGAACTGAGGTGGACACTGATGAATTTAACCAAATGACATTATAAAGGATCGCTTTCAACAGGCTGGCTGAGTTTGGCATCCAGTGAGAGAATGAGGCAATGAAAAAGACGAAATTCAACTTTTTATGAATTTATCAATTTGTTTATTATTTAAGTACTCCTTATAATAGTAACGAGGAAGAGAGAAAAGGTAAAAATAATCTCATTCGAACAATCAAGTTTTAACGCAGTTTTAAATATGAGACGTTGCGTATCTCCCACAGTTTTTTGCTGTTTAGTGTAATTAAACATTTGTGTGAGATATGTAATTTATTTTGTTTAATTAAACCATCAATATGTCTTCCAACTATACTTATCCAACTCGGGTTCTCAATGTTTTCTTTAAACTTATATGAAAATAAAAATGATTATAAATTTCTAAAAATGTTGGAATCCTAAATATCTGTTGACAATGAAAAAGAAACTTTACAAACGCAATAAAAAAATGAATATATATATATATGCTAAATGGCACGTGGTTTTGTCACACAAATAAAGTTATTGACATGGATTATAAAGCTCTTCTGAATGTAAAGCCTCCGTCTTCAACGAGAACTAATGATGTCATCGAATCGTTCTAGGCTGAAGTGGATTACAAGGTAATGGACGGGTGTTGAATGGCGGTGCGAGGCAGGGGCGTTGCTAGAGATTTTGGGCCCCATGAAAGCATATCATATTAGGCCCCCCAGTCCAAACCAATCCAGTTATTTTCCTAATTTTTTAGGGGCCCTGTCACTCAGGGGCCCTTGGAATCGTCCTAGCTTTCCTCCCCCTTACGGCGCCCCTGGTGCGAGGTGTACGCATATTGATAAGTGCTGATACCCCCGTTAGTGCTGAAACTTGGGAGAGCGCGCAGATCTTTCATTATGTATGAACAACTTCCATATATCAATGTAGAAAATATTGGCTTTTTGACACTCATTCTGAACGTGGAGTATCTCTCACAAAGGGACCGTGGAATTGAAATTTTGCCGCGAAGAGGTGACAATGTGGCCTCTCGCTTGGGCGCTAAGCACCCGGTCAAGGCAGCACGCTATTGTGCTCCAGGCTTTGAAGGGACAATTCGATCGAGTCTCCTGACCATCTGTTACCTTAGGATAGGGGCAGACGCACTTTACACACAGCTGCACAAAGAACGAATGTTTCTATTGTCCTATGACTTAAACA